CGTCTTTACTTCTAGTTTTCTAAGCCCCACCACTTTTATAACCTCGAATAAATTTTTAAAGCTAAAGCTGCTTGGACTTCTGGAAAAAAGGAATAAAGCTAATCTTTAAACAACGTTTAAAGGGAAACAAATTTCTTTATTTTGAATCGGATGCGTGATAACTTATTTGTCGTCTAATTTACTAACATTTGTGTTGATAATTGTCTCGATCGCATTATTTATCTGAATGCGAGCGTATAAATCGGATAGTCGATAATTTAGTGCTTAAGAGGCGAACCTAAACTTAGATGAGCATAGCGCCATTCTTCGTTTCTGCATTCTGACCATAGGCGTTCTCAAGCTGTGCTCAAATGCATTTTATCCTGCTGTTAAAAGATTTTTTCATACGTACTTCCTTCTCTTGAAGAATATGTCATTTCTAATATTACCATCGAATTTTTTTGCCCTTTTGATGGTTATTAATACCGAGAGGAAGTAATGTATTCTCGGTGGCCTCTGCTTCCTTCTGCCATATTCAATTAGGCCAGTATTCATTACCCTTGCTCTAAAGAAACTCCACGAAGCTGATAAAACTAAATTGTGAGCAGCAGAAGTATGAGACTATGCGCGTTACGAAAACAACTATTTAATTTAAGTTTTCAAACTCGAATAACTGCATTTTTTCATGTAAAACAAAATAATGGATTTTGTGTTATTTGCTAGTTCCAGCTACCTACTGGGGGAGGGGGGGGGGCAACACAGAGCTAAGCAAAGTTCTCTTTCCAATTATTTAGATAAATCAATTTGGCAGCATGCTCTGGGTAACAATGACACTAGCTTACCAAGAAGAACCCTAGGCATGAATCGGACGAATTGAGCTTTGAAAACTTTAGATCCTCAAAGTGAATTTAGTCCTATTAGGAAGCTTGTGACTCACTAATTTAAGAATTTAAATAAAATAAAATACTTAATATTTTTTCATCGTTATCTTTGCCTAGTCAACTTTATCTAATATTCTTTACTGGACTACTGGAGTGCTTCAACTCTCCAGTCCTTATTGCAAGATTAGTGTGGCGTCACCAAGGGTAGTGAAAATAATGGATTGCAGTTATTTACATATCCAACTTTTAGCTTAAATTATGACGTAGATGTCCACCGATCACCGTGCATGGAGCATTTTATTCCCATCGATGCATACCACACCGAATAACTTGGCGGATTACTGAATTAGGGTCTCTCAGCATGGCGGATCCATGATACTACTCACTACTTAAGATGGGCGTTGGAAAACGTTCTCCCAAATGAGCTTGGTAGTTGGTTAAAAACTTCACTCTCTTAATGCCACCTTTATAAAATGTGAATGTTATATCATAAGATTTATTGATAGGACAAAGAAGCCTGTCAGTAGGGGGACTTCATGAAGCTAAATCGATTTGGATTGGTGAGTTCGCTCACCGAATTGCACCTCTAGTAATTGGGATGAGCCTGTTAACCACAAATAACGAAATTATCAAGACTTACAACTGTAATTCATTTAAAGGGTATCAAATATGAACTATTCCACTGAGATATCCCTCACAAAATCTAATTTTATCCGGCCTCTTCTAAAGGTACCACAATATCTAGGGGCAAAATATTTTCTAAGGAACTAAAATGTTGCATCGATTAAAAAAATATCTGTTTGGAAGAAATTGAGAGATAATTTGAGGATAATGCTTAGAGAAGGGAAAGGGCTATAATTTTTCTTTTGTGTCTATGAGAACCCGAAGGCGTGTCACAAGAGCTTATTAAAGCTTGATTATCAGCAGAGTCGCGATTTACTTATGTAGCCTCAGGCAGTACATACTCAAACGTATGATTAAGCAAGTTAACTTGCGCAAAAACTTTAACGAAGAAATTTAATTAGCTTAAGGATACTCATAGATTGATGAGTGACTTGATTTTAATTGCTCTGAGTGGGAACACTTAGGACAAGGATTACTTATCCTTACAAATGTCGTAATCTATGAACCAGTATTGATCCAAAGATAATAGCCCCCCTTGAGAGTAGAAAAAAATATTAAAAGTGCAGTTGACGGAAAATTCAACGGTAAAGGCCAGTGTATTAAGTTCCATTCTCTTAAAAACTTCTTTGATGAGCCATGAAATGCCAATTTTCACTTGTTGAAAAACTTTATTTTGTATTGTTAACGGGGTGCTAATTCCATTTTCTGCTGTTTCTATTTTCTAATTTAAAAAAATCAAAAAGCCTGAGCGGAAAAGTGCCTTTCTCATAACATTCTTCTGTAACTGTTGCTAAAATATTTCCACTGAAATTCGTAGAGTTCAGCTTGCGCGAGATCTATTGTACTTTTCTCATTTGCTCGCTTATGACTTTAAGAAGGTAAAGATGAATCAAGGTGACAAACTAACTATCCAATTAGATTCGCGGAAGATATTTCAAGCGGAAATTCAGACATTGAATCCTGAAAAAATCAATCTTAAAACATTTAGTTAAGAGAGTGTGAGTTATAGCTCTTTTAATAAGTGAACAAACCAAGGTCAGTCTACCAAAGTCCTCCTTAATGGCCTATTGCACTGGTTAATTCTGGTTATCGAGAGGGTGACTTACTAGGAGTTTATCATGAAGAAAACCCTCTAAGTAGGCCAAGTGTGGTTAGTATTTTTCTTAATAAGACAGTAGTAATGGTACAGAAGGGTTATTTAAGTAAAATTGTAACGAACCCCATTAACCTTAAAAGTTCTTGTCCATAACGTTTCTAGTTCCGTAAAGGCAAAGCTGGCTCTTGAGTTAACTGAATGTTGTCTTCAATGTTGATTTACCAGAATCCTTTGCTGCTACTTGGAGGGATAGAATGCTTATTTTCAAATGATGGTTGATATCGAACTAAACGAAGTACCAAACCCGCAGGTGGCATTTGTGTAGTAAAATTTGGAAAGAAAGGACCTCCATTAGCCCAAGTATGGACTGCTTCTATTTATTGCGCGTTTCTGTAGATATTTCTTCATGTGCTCGTTCAAGTGTCACTTCTACTTGTAGAAAGTGAATTTATTTTCACACATGATTGTGGCAAAAATTTGGGTCACATTAATTCTATGACTAGTCGAAAGGTGAATAAATGTAACTGGTAACTGGAAGATAGAAGAGGAGAGGGGAGGAAAGTCGAGGTAGAAGAAATTTAGTCACCATCACATGCGATCTCCTAACTAAAATGGCATTTTGATTGTCAGATTATCCTGCATGCCCAAGAGGTTTATACACCTTTTTCTATCTCCACTTAAATTGACATATGTTTCTGACCAATTAAATATCACGTGGCCACATCTGACCGAAGTCGCACGTAAAAGAATCAAATTCACACTTAAGAGAACATTAAATGAATAAATTTATCCAAAGTTCTTCCTATTAATTGCTATATTTGATTAGAAATGAAAAATTGGTCAGTAAGATAAGAGTCACTGTAAGTCCTGCCCAATAGTTTCCTCCTCAGACTGCGTTGGATCTGTTATTCGGCATTCCAGGGGCATTGAAGAACCTCGTCAACCGATAGTAAGAGTTGTAAGGTGGAGATGCTATTAATAAACGCAACATCGAATGTTTATGTCTTTGCTCTAATGTAATGTGACTCAAACACCATCTTCCACTTAGCAAAGGTAAAAAAAGTTGCGGTTTTCATCGGCGAGCTCAAAATGCGAAAAGATAGTTGCGAATGCGAAGGATATTGGATTCTAGTAATCGCTTTGAGAGCTAAATAAAGGGAATTAGGTTATTTTCCTCCTTCACAAAAACACCGTTTAAACTCCGGACATCAGAGTCAATATGACATTATAAATGCTTCAAATCTAATTGAGAATTGTTAGTATAACTTCATTTCGATTTATTTAGCCTAATTTCCCTGAATACGATGACTTTAACCGTTAGAGTTCAGTTAACTGAAAATTACGTGGTTAAATAATTTATACTTAGCCAACATTAAAATAGGATTTAAACAAAATATTCTAAACACTATTAATATAGTACGAGGGTAACTTTTATACCAGCCGATGATTACTTCTAGAAGAACACGAAAGAACAACAAAGTTTATTTACAGGTCGTTAAGGGGAAGGATAACACGAAGATAAATAGTAAGTAAACTTATGAATTGTTAGGATTTATTCATTGTCACCACCAATTATCAAAATGTGAGCTTATTGGGTTATCTTTTTACAAGCATACGAAAATGTCAGAAAAATCGTTAGAATATTTTTAGTCAAAATCTTGTCAAATACCAAATAATAAGCTTAATGGAACTGGTAACCCAGTTTGTAATTACTGTACCTCAAGACTTCAAGAGGCCACGAACTTAAAACTCGAACGAAGGAAAAGTGATGGACAGCGGCTTTCACCACCAAATGCGATTGATCGAGAATTGGAGCTGCTGAAAAGCTTAGACTGCGTACCAAACAACATGCCCCAATGTGACCTACGGGAGGAAATGGAGAAATGGCGGAAACCTAGAGATACTATGAAGGCTGAAGCCAACTAAAGGGTTAATAATTTAGCCTGCCATTTGATATAATTTCAATATATACTCAATAATTTTTTAAAAAATATTCTCTTATAATTTTAAGTAAAATTAATTCAAATCTAAAATCCACTTAATTCTATTAGATAATAGGAAAAAACGACAACTTTTTATTTTTGAATATTAGGTGAATAAACGTAATTGTTCAAATGAGTAGTGCGTACGTGATATGTACAGAATAACGTTCTGATTGGTTGATGCGGAAGGATTGCCTATCCAAATGGTAATTTAACCAACTGGTCAGTATCGTGCACAAATTACACCTCTCATTGGTGAAATCGAGCCCTCCCAAGTGTGTATTTACATATGTGCGTGCAGGCCAAATACGCGCTATCCTTCATCCTTATCCCTTATTGGTTAACTAGTCATAGCAAGCGGACGTTATTCATTGGCTCCCAACAAGACACCGATCCCATATTAATTCCCGCTTGAAAATCAGACTTTAAAACAACAAAATGAGTAATGAAGAAAAGGAGAAATACTTCCCATTCTCAGCACAGAGTTTCCTTGATTCCACTCCCCAAACAAAGCACCTAGATGAAATCTCTTCCCAAAAGGATATCTTTGCAGCTTTCTTAGCTGCTAGAGCATTTAAGTGGCCCCCCGAAGATGAGATTCTCTCAAAACCTCAAGAAATCATCCGAATCTGTCAAAATCTTGAATCTTGCGGAAATATTGAACGCCTTCGTCAGTTCATGTGGCTCCTACATAAACGCGTGGATCTTTGGGAGCTTCTAAATCGCGATGAAACCATACTTCGCTGTAGAGCACTTGTTGCCTTCCATACCAGAAATTTCAGCGAACTCTACTCGCTTTTAGAGCGGCATAGTTTTTCAAAAGCTAGTCATGCTAAAATGCAAGCTCTTTGGCTGGAAGCCCACTATCAAGAGGCAGAAAGTTTGAGAGGTAGAGCTTTAGGACCTGTGGACAAGTACCGTGTCCGAAAGAAGCATCCATTGCCAAAAACCATCTGGGACGGGGAACAGAAAACCCACTGTTTCAAGGAAAGGACTCGAAGTCTATTGAGGGAATGGTATTTACAGGATCCCTACCCCGGACCGAATAAGAAAAGGGAGCTAGCCAATGCAACTGGTTTAACTCCGACTCAGGTTGGCAATTGGTTCAAAAATCGTCGTCAACGAGACAGGGCTGCAGCAACCAAAAACCAGTAAGATTTTCGCATTTTAACAAACTTCTTTTCAAGTATCTAATACTTAAAGCAAAATATATAATCGATTTAAAATCTACTTGAAGTGCTGTCTTACATTCCTATGTTCTCTTCAAGAAATTTCAGCGGTGCTAATGATATTGTCATCTTTCTGCAGCAGCCACAATAGACGGATTGCCTTTAATGTTAATCATGGGGTAGAACAGTAAGGCTTAAAAACTTGTTAGAATACTTTTTCCCTATAATAATTACATACTTCACCACCATTATAATCAAAATATCATTTTACACTTTCTAGATTACATGATTATACTAATTAGTGAGTCAAAATTCCAAAATGTAATTATATACATACCTTTTAGGAGAACATTGATTAATGACGGAAGCGAAGATGAAATCCAGGTGGATTCCAAACTCTTAGCCTCATCAAGTTCACCATTCATAAATCATTCGGACCAACCATCTCCTGCCTATTTGGATGATGTTGAGAGTGCTCCAAAATGTTCCTCCTTGTCTAAGCCTTCGCCGTTTAGTGCGGAGTCACTTATTGATAGAAAGCGGCCGCACCCAGGGCAGTGCTCGAATAGAACGGAATTTGGCGATGAATTGATTAAAAGGGCTTTGGCAATCGTACCACCCTTTCTGCCGCCTCTTCCAGATCTGCAATCAGATTTTCGATCCACATCGATTTCTACTCTTTACATGCAGGCTTCCTTGGCTCTTTCAGCTCTTCTACCAGCTGATCTGAGAAAAATGGTACCACAAATTCCTCCTTCCTTCGTGATCCATCCTCCACCTCTCTCGCAGTTCAAATCGGATCAAAACATATTAAACTCCTCCTCCTCAAAATCCCAAGAAGCGGGAACAACGACCTCTCTGTGATTACCCCTTCTTTTTGCTTCCACTCTGTGTTTGTATGCGATTGGTTGGTATTACTTTTTGAACAATAGATATAATTCAGTCATTTATCCATTTTATATGGTATCAGTTATGGAGTTAGTGGTTTGTGACATAGGAGGAGCTAATATTTAGTTCACTGTTCAAAAATGATTAAGCATGATAATTTCCTTCTCGGCACACAAATTGATTGCTTAATTACTTGAGAACACTCAAAATTATATCGGCATTCGCTTTCAAGATGAAGCATTTTATTCAGCTTTCGATCGTCTAACTTCTAAAGGTTGCCTTGACAAACTTCTTCAAGTTATAAAGATGCTACATCGGCTTCGTTTTATGTCGTTAATTTTGGCCGACTATTTCAACACTTAATAATGTCAAGCAAAAATCGAAGTTCAAAATGGTGTTATTGAGATTATTGGGATACAATTTAGTCAAGTGAGAGAAGAAATATTTAAAGGCCATTAAGTGTGAATGGGTTAAGTCAATATTATAATTGGAAAACACGGATTTTCTCAATATTTTTCATTTAATTTCCTACCTTCTGGCTACGTGTGAGTCAATATTCACGAAGGCTAGATCAGACTTAATGTGATCGATACCTATCCAGTATGATGAATGTCAATTGTACTTGAAAGTTTGAGTGTACACGAGGTGGTGTAATGTGGATACCTTCCGTTTACCAAAGTCAAAAGTTTAAACGCCTCATAAAGGGCTCCGGACTTTTCTTAGCTCAGTAAAACACCTAAATTGAGCTCACTATGCAACTTGTGCTTTGAATTATATTCACTAAATCCTCATTTTTGTCAACTAAGTTATAATGTAAGTAGAGTTGCAATAAAATTTTTCTAGTCAATTACAGCAAAGTCTAAGAAGAAAGAGTAGTCGCCGATCTGATTTTAGTTACTGTTATGCGAGAATTCAACTGTTTCAAACTATTTTCAATAATCACAAATTCTCTTAAATGTGGGAATTGTAAGGAAAGTGCCAAGTCGAGATCTAGGAACACAGTAAGTACATTCAGTGATATGGGTGACCACTCATCTAGGGCACTTTTGGTCATTAAGAGAGGTGCAACATTTGGAGTAACTCGTAAGGGTGCCGATTTCCATAATTAACTTAAGACACATCTTAATTTGTTCAACATTTTGAATTTAAATTTAAAGTCACAAGTTTTTCTCCAAGGATTTTAGGTTAATTCATGTTTGTGATGTCCAGGGTTTAGTGGTCATATAGTTTTAATGAATTTATTTTTTCAAATAACTAAAGCTAGCATGATAATACCAACTAACTGTTGTGCGTATTATTTCTAAATTTTACCGGAATCAAAACGTTTCAGCAATATGCTATTTCCGACCAATTTATTCTCGATCTTGTCATAATTCAGCTAAAGTTTTTCGTGCTTATTAAAGCTATAATAAAGGTTATCAGAGGACTTTTCCGCATAAACAACGTCTTTATGTCATATCTTTCCTTCCCCAGAAGTAGGTTTCGTGTAAATCAGAGGTAGTGTGGTGGATACCAATTTTCCCCTTTCCTACATTGCGACTTCTAGTCAGGTGCAGATGGAGAAGGGGAGGGAGGGGGAGGGAGGGAGGGGGAGGGTATTTAGTTTAGCGGTGGTCCATGTGCACACACAGGTTGGGGAGAGGCGAAGGATGTCACCAAAACCCTTTCCCTATCCTCTCTCTCTCTCTTCTGCTTGACAGTGGCATTTTCCTCCTCCATAAAAGGTCAACCGTGCCGAGAGAGAGAGTCGAAGGAAGAGGTATGCACAGACAGTGCTGTATGTAGGTCCACCATCAATGTTCTTCAGCTCGGCTCCATGATTGGATAAATGGCCTGATCTTTTTCAATCCTCTTTGCTTTGCTTTCATTTCTTCTCCTTCCACTTCTCGAACTTATAAATGCCACCAATACGAAATGTGATTTTTTCATAATAGTACAAGTGTATATCATACATTCTTCAGTTGAAAATTGTGAAAATTACCAAGAAAACGACATATTCTACCTATTGCAACCCTACAGCAGAAATGAAACAATTTTTGAAAATGCCAATCTATCCACGATAGTAACAATAATTACTTCCTTTCACAAATCGTCTTTTGAAGGAATCTGCTCTTAACTCGCTGTTAACGTTGAGGACAACTTTCCGAAATGGGATGTTCCAACCACTCTTGTCCACTGTATTGACTCAAATAATTGTAAACAGAGCGCTGTTAGTCCAAACTGATTGTTGTTAACTGAGGAGTAGAAACGACATTGAAATCTTTTCTTATGGAAGATTCTCACTTCGCTATATTGTCTCTAGAATTCCTTCGAAAGGGAGGGGGGGGGGGATTCACGTTTTAGAAACTAAGCGTCCCATGATCATAAGCTTCAGATATCAAAAGTATACTTTTCAAATTCTCATAGGTCTTCTAAACTTTTCTAATGCTAAATGCAATACCACGTTCTCCCTGCTCAAGAGAGAGAGTAAATTTTTGGTGTATTAAGTGCTGATTGAGTTCCCATTACTTCAAATACCCAGATTGTTTCCACTTTTGAAGCCTTATAAATTCTGTGATGGAAGTGAGATTTACTGCAAAGTTGGGAAAATATCTACGACATCTTTCCCAAAAATTGAGAAGTTGGTGGAGCTTTCTATTAATGGTAACTTGACTTTTCCGCTGACATCTGAGCACAATAGAGGAAGAAAATCAAATAAAATATTTTTTGTTGGAATCTAACAAAAATGTTTCATGTTCTTCTGGATTTTCTATTATTGGATTTATATGCTCCTTCCCGGATAAATGATATCACTAGCAAAGAACCCATCAATGCAATTATTCTATGAAGGAATATTAAGTTTCTCATTCAAAATACAGTTGAAGTTGCAGATCTTTCTCGCCTTCCTCTCGAAACTCCATTAGCTGTGGCTTAATAAAAGTGGCGACAGGAGTTTCGGTAAAGGGCGATTGTAACGACACAAACTCGAAAAAGCAGTTAATCACTTATCTGAATGCATTCCCATTATTCTTCCAAACCGTCCCCAGAATTAGTTAAATATGCCACATTATGGCGCAAATTCACGTACTTAAGATGGGCACCATATGCTCAGACGTGGCTCAAGCATATAAGGCTACAAACACCTGCCACTAAAAGGGCTGAGAACTGAGATATGAAAAAACACTTCATGCTTATCAATCCAGTGTATTCACATTCATAGGGGGGAGGGGTGGGGGGAGAATAGGAGCACAGTAAGTTGAGATAGCATCATTTGTTCACTTTACTCTAAAGTATCTGATTGTTCGGAGTGTCTCAGTGTCATTTATGAAAGCGTACCCCTTCAACCTTCTCAGGCGGATTTATCAGCTTTTCAAATGCATTATCGACAATTCACTTTTATCGAGAAATAAAGGTAGTGATTGCGACCCATCAGCGCATATCCATTAAATAGTTGGGGTGATCGAACGAGGACTCTTTGGCAGCGCTATTGCGACGTTTTTGGAAAAAAAGAAGTAAAAGTCTTAGCACATTCTACTATGCTGTGGTAAGATAAACCAAGCTGATGAATGACATTTTAAATCTTTCGCTCCTCAACGGCTTGAAGTAAATACAGATTGAGGTGTCAAAACCAGTCATAGTTATTTAGTACGAATTAGTAGACATCTGGAACGCAAATTGGTTTGGTAATGCAGATGGAAGATCATGAAATTTAAGTGAACTCCCAAGTGAGTAAATAGAACGCAATCCGAAGCCCAAAGTCGTCAAATGTATTGCTGTTATCTTGATTTCACTACAATCAACATAATTTTGACTTCTTCCCTATCATTTATTGGACTTGCTGTTGAACGGTTTCGGTTGCTATGCCACATTGAACGTGCGAATATCAATGAATATTCAAAATATATTGGAATATGCGGTAATCCAGGGACCTGGATATCATAAATTCGTTTTTAAATTTTGACGAGCAACAACTAATCGTTGGATTCACCGTTCACTAACCAGACCATATCGATATGTCCATTTATTCTAATAGATTGGATTTTAAGCTCATTTGGTATACTTGAATCCACTCAAGAAATAGGCCACAAATCCTGAAAAATGTAAAATGAAATATGAAGCAGTCGGGTGGGCAACCGAAATTACAGTTTTTGAGAGGCTTTGGTATTCTAATCCTTTTTCCTACTTCTGAAACCCAATTCCCTCTCGCAACCTATTTAGGACGGCTTTATTATCCTTCGTATTTAAATGCCTATCCAAGATGATCGTCTATGTGTTTTGCAGCTCTGTGTCCAAAATTCAAGAGGATGGGCTCCAAATGTGTGGAGTTAGCGTATCTGATCACGTATTCTTGTGCATTGGATTCTTATGCTCAACTCTAATTATTGACTAGCCAAAGACCATCATTTATCACTTTTTCACATGTACATCCACATTTGAATCAATTCTTTCTTCCAGGAATTTAGCCTTATCTAACCTGGCCAGTATGTATCTTTTAAAACTACCAATAAATGACAGTATTTATTGTTAAGTGGATATTCTTTCGACCCTTGCCTCATTAGATAGGGAGATGAAGTTAAATTTTTAAATGAAATAGTGAGTATACTTTTAAACCCATAATTATGAAGTAATTTCATACAGAGATAAAAATTTATTCTCTAAGACCGTCATCGTGACGGTGCATTAAGCTTTTCCTGTGGGACGTACAAAGTAGATCAAGTTCTGGAGATAGTGTGGATTTTCGCACCAACTATTTCGCACATGCTACACGAACTTGTCCCATTGACGCTTGCATAGCTTTGATTCCGAATAAAACTTTCCATACATAAACACACCTAATATCTCAAAGACACAAGAATCGTACTGAGGGGAAAGGACCACCTTTTCGAGTGGTTAGGCTATCTGCAAAAAGCCCTTACAAAAACCTTGAAAGAAGGAGTAATAACTCTCAATTGATGATTCACAGTCAATTCAACCACTAATGGACACTACTTCTTAAG